GTATGACCGATAACCCCAAATGGTGTGTGTTCAGGCAGCACCGGTCCCCAACAGTACAAAGACTACCTCCCAGTGTGGTGTGGGTGGGAGGAAAGCCATTCTGTGCTGCAGTGCCTTTTCCATCTGTCAGTTCTCCGCTGCAACTGGAGAAAGGGGCAGCTGAGGCGGCAGGGCCCACTGTCCTGAGCTGCTGCCGCCAGCCCCGTAACCAGAAAGAAGTGAGCCAGCCGGGCGCCCAGCACCCCAAGACAGAGAGCGTTTTGTTCACTCATCCCACCAGTACTTACTGGTTCATAACCACAGCCCTGCCAGGTTCTCTGCCGGGCACTGTGAGGTCATTGGTGCCCAAAACAGACCGTGTCCTGCGCTCAAGGAATTTACAGATTCCTAGGGAGGAGCCCTGGTGGCATGGTGTGCTACTTATTGGGCTGCTAAGTGCAAGGTCAGCAGTTGAAACCATTAGAGGAGGCTTTCTGCTTCTGTAAAGAGTTACAGTCTCGAAAACCCTGTCCTTTAGAGTCAGAATCGGCTTGATGGTGGTTCATGAGAGACGAACACTAAACAAAATGACACTGTAAAAAAAAGCCTTGGATGAAAAATAATTAAGTGTGCTTTAAAGGAAAGGTGTAAGAGGGCTTCAAGAAATGTGTGGGGCAGCGGAATGTGCCTGTGCCTGTTTGGGACCTGTCATGGAGGAGCTCTGCAAGGGTGTCCTGGGGTGTGTGTGGGGGTCCCTGTGATGTCATGTGCGGGCTCCGGACTGAAACGTTGAAGATTCAGGTTGACTGAGGTGCCAGGCAGAAAGGCCTGGCATTCTCCTTCTGAACACACAGCCCCTGCCCGCCCTGTGGAGCACAGCCCTGACCCGAGTGCGGCTGTGGGTCTCAGTACTTGATCAGCCGAGTCGAGGCCATGGTGGCTTGTAATGTTGCAGCATGGGGTTACCCCCTTAAAACGCCGGGGTTGGTTAATCTTGTGCAGAAAGCTCTCCCCTGTCCTCCGCAGGGCTATTCTGAGTCCCCGGACCTGGATTTTGAGTATGCCGACACAGACAAGTGGGCCGCAGAGCTCTCTGGTAAAGTACTAACTTCTTATACCTTGGGAATGGAGAAGCCTTTTTAATTTAAAAATTTTTTTCAGAAAATTGAAACTGTGACTATATATGTGTTTAATTTTTTCCCTTTAATTACTCCTAGTGGTTATGCCTTGGGCGGGCTATTTTTTTCCCTTTACCTTTTTATCAGTTCTAATGGTTACACATTGGGCAGGTAACTGCAAGGCCAGCAGTTTGAAACCACCAACTAACTGCTCAGTGGAAGGAAGACGGGGCTTTCCGCTCCCATAAAACATTACTGTCTTGGAAACCCACAGGGGCAGTTATGTCCTGTCCTATAGGGTCATTCCGAGTCAGCATCAGCTGATGGCAAAGAGAATGACAATGTTATGTATATAAAACATAGGAGTTACTTAGTATCTCGTGACTTCGGTTGCTCTGCCCTTTGTAGGGAGCTTTTCTGGGGACAGCTGCTGCTGTGTCCCATTCCCCCCACCCCGCCATCAGTGCCTCTCCTCAGTAGAGGTTCACCAGACATGCAGTCAGCCCTGCGGTTGCACCTCACATCCCTGTCCCTGCTCGAGGCCAGCCTGGGCTGTTCGCGAGCCCCACAGAACAGGCCTCATGTGAGGGGCTTCAAAATGTGGTCAGAACAATGGAATGAAAGGCTAGGGGGTTTCCCGACCCCTTGTTAAAGCCTGCTCACACAGGACGTTGCCCGTCAGCCTCAGCTGCAGGGTCCCGGGGTTTCTTGTAGCTTACACTTCAGCTCTCAGCTGCGGGCCACGCACCGCATGGCAGAGCACTGGGGTCCTCGGCCATCAGGGCCGCTGGAGTGGGTGAGGAAGGACGTGCCTGGCCCATGCTGGGTGTGGGGCGTGGGATGGGCTCACAGTGAGGGGCCTTTGTTCCTAACAGAGCTGTACAGCTACACGGAAGGGCCCGAGTTCCTGCTGAATAGAAAATGCTTTGAGGAGGACTTCCGAATCCACGGTGAGATGGGCTCCCCACCTGGCACCACTCGAGTGAGCTGGCTTGCTGGCTTTCTCTGACTTAGCCAAGTGGCCTGCTGAGCCATGATTGTGCAAGGCCTGATGGGGCATGGAGAGAGGGCACGCTGGTGGGGGCTTGTCAGAATGAATGGGGTGGAGGGGGAGGGAGGCATGGGAATAAAACTGCCTACTTAAAATTGTACTCCAAATGCCAGTACTCCCGTCTGGACAGACAATAGGACATCATGCCTTAGCCCAGAAGCCACGAGTCTTTTGAGCCGTCTGGTCCTTTGGCAGGCCTGGGTTTGGGGGCTAGCACTGTGTCATTCCCTGGTGAGGGCTTTTCTGGGTATAGGAGTAACGGCTCTCTCACCCTGCAGTGACGGACAAGAAGTGGACTGAGCTGGACACCAACCAGCACCGGACCCATGCCATGAGGCTCCTGGATGGCTTGGAAGTCACTGCCAGGGAGAAGAGGCTCAAGGTCGCCCGGGCAATTCTCTATGTTGCTCAAGGTACTGAGTGGACGTCCCCTGGGGTCCCTGACACCTCAGCCAGCTGCCTGGCCCAGGCCAAGGCGGGAGGGCCGGCAAGCTCTGCCCTGTGCTTCCAGGCACCTTTGGGGAGTGTAGCTCGGAGGCGCAGGTGCAGTTCTGGATGCGCTACAACATCTTCCTGCTCCTGGAAGTGGGCACCTTCAACGCACTGGTGGAGCTCCTGAACATGGAAATCGAGTGAGTTCTGCTCGGGGGCCGAGGAGGCAGGGGGTGGAGCTGGCAGGGCAGACCCGCTGGATGAGATGCGCTGCCCTGGATGGAGGGCTGGTCCTGTTCTGAGCTCCAGGGCTGGAGAGTGGGGGAAGTTGCTCCCCGAGACCTTGACTGTGGAGGCAGGCAGGCCTGCCGCAAATGGAGGCCTTGAGTTTGAACTCTCCTCTGAGCCTCCATGTTCCCTCAGCATGAGCCAGGCCCACGCCTGACACGGGCTGAGCAGAGCCAGCACCAGCCTTGTGTTAGCTCTGGCTCTTCGTCAGGTGGACAGGTCAGCTGCTGCTTGCCTGAGGGTACCACCTGCTAAGCACGCCCGAGTCCTCATCACATGCAGGCGTCCTTCTAGGGGTGTTGCATCTACTGTGGGCCTAGAGATTGTTAGCACCCCATTTTGTGGAGGAGGGACAGACCCAGAGAGGTGAGGTGAGGTGACTTGCCCGAGGGCATGGATAGGAAATGCCCCTTGACCATGTGGGGAGGCCCCTGTTCTTACTTGTGTGTTCTTCAGCCTCTGTGCACTCTGAGGTTCATGGGGAAGTGCCACCACAGTCATCCTTGAATCCGTTTCCCATGAACTCTTTGAAGTACCTCCACTGGGCAGCCCTTGTCCAGCGAGTCCTCCTCTCTCTCCTGGCTGAGGGCTGATGCACAGTTCCTCCCTGCAGCAACAGCGCCGCCTGCAGCAGTGCCGTGAGGAAGCCTGCCATCTCCCTGGCTGACAGCACAGACCTGAGGTGAGGCCTGGGAGATGCGGCAGGATGCTGAACCAGGGTGTGCCTGTGAGCATATGTGTGCGTGTGTTGCGTGGCATGCTGTGGCAGTGAGGGATGAGTAGGCCATGCTGAAGCTGCTCCATAGGTGAGATGCTGGGCGGAGTCCCCCAAAGGAAGAACCCTGGTTCACCCCACTTCTGTCCAAACCAGCGTCCTCCCATGGATTGGGAAGCTTCCCGACTCCAGGGTTGGGTGCTCTGTACTTTACTGTAATTAAGGTCCTTGAGTGTCACCCCTTCCTGACTGCCACTCCACGGAGATTAACTCTGTCCCTGCCCTCTGTCCCTGTTGGTACATAACTACGAGCTGAGGTCTGACAGACACCCACTTCCACGGCTCACACCCCCTCGGTGCTGTTCGTATCCCAGGGAATGTCCGGCAGTGAGTGCGTTTGGCTCTTCTCGCTCTCGCTCATTCACTCAGCAGCCAGGGATTAAGTAGCTCTGTCCTGGTGGGATAGTGCTGAAGCAGTGGGCAGCCAGCCACAGGTCAGCAGTTGGAAACCCCCAGCTGCTCCTCAGGAGAAAGGGCTTTCTCGTCCTGTGCAGAGTTCCCGTCTTGTACCCATAGGCACAGTTCTCCCCTGTTTTGTGGGGCCGCATTGAGTTTGGTTTTAATTTTTTGTGCCGGCACCTTGCTAGGCTCTGGAGATGCAAAATTGTACGGTTGGAGCCTAGCCTCAATCTTGTGACCCTGAGAAGGCAGCCCGGGAGAGATAGCCTTAAACAGACCTTTCATCTGAGATGCACGGATCCTGCCGCTCTTCCTTCTGTCCTCCTCCCCAGCTCCAGCCTTCCCCGCCACGCAGCCCTCTGAGGAACGGGTGGGAGGGAGGGGCGAGTCCTTGGTCCCCCATACGGCCCTGATGAGCTGGCTCTTGTCCCCAGGGTCCTGCTCAACATCATGTACCTGACCGTGGAGACAGTTCACCAGGAGTGTGAGGGCGACAAGGCTGAGTGGAGGGCCATGCGGCAGACCTTCAGGGCTGAGCTGGGTAGGATGCTGGGCCGGCCGGAGGCTCCGGGGCTTGGGGTATCCTGTTCTTGCCCATGGCCCTCCTGCCTCTGTGTCACCTCTAGGCTCCCCGCTGTACAACAACGAGCCCTTCGCCATCATGCTGTTCGGGATGGTCACCAAGTTTTGCAGCGGCCATGCGCCTCACTTCCCCATGAAGAAGGTCCTCTTGCTGCTCTGGAAGACGGTGCTGGTGAGCGCCTCAGAGGGGGCTCGGCTCGGGGCGGGGCCTGCTCTGGCTGTTACATCCATCACCCTTACCTTTTCCCCTCTCACACCTCCCTGAGCAGTGGGTTTGTGTAAATGGAAAGGCTGAGCCGCAGGGTGCTTGCTCCTTGAGCAGCCGGTGGGGGCTCCCAGGCTCCAGTCCCTCACAGAGCAGCTGCTCCCCAGACCAGGCTGCCACTCAGGAAGTGACTCCTGACCCTGGAGTTGCTAAAGGGAGTTGAGGCCAAATTGGTTGAAATTAGAGCTAGTATAATTGGGGCCTCGCTGTCAGAGGAAGGAAGCAGTGTGAGTCCTGAGCTAGCCTTCACATTCCTCGGGGGGTGACAGGAATCTGGACTTGGGGTCTGGCTGGGGAGGCCGTGGGTACCAGGGGGACGGTCCATTCTCCCATCAGAAACAGCGGCTTGGGAAGCAAGTGGGGCTCATGCTCCCCACTCCTGTCAGACTGGGCCAGCTCAGCACCCGAGGGCTCGGTGGTTGAAGAGCCTACTAAGAGCCACCTGCTTGGTTTATCTTGGCCCTGCATCCTATTTGTCATGAAGCCTCAAGCCTTGCTGAAGGCCGAGAGAGAGGACCGCTGCCAGGTTCTGCAACCAGGAAAGCGAGCAGCTGGCAACAACTGCCCGGTGCTAGTTTGGGCTTCCAGACAGTTTCTGAAGAAGCCGTCTCTCGTAAAATTTGAGCATGCAACAAAGTATTTCCAATTTGCTCTTGGAAGACTGGTTGAGATAAGAAATATACCAGGACGTAAAATATACTTTTCTAGAAACCTGGAAGTTTGTTTTTACCTAAGAAGTGTTTGTTTGGTTTTTAATGGACTGTTAGGTCATACATAGAGTCAAGCGTATCGGCCTTGGTTAAGTCAGCCTGCATTCCTCCCCCTTCCGTGCTGCCTTTCCTGCTCCCCCGTGCAGAGGTCCCAGAATTCGTTGAGGTGGGTTGAGTCCCTGGTGTAGCAGTTGTTGGCACTTACAGGGTCGTGAGCCTGTTCTGGGGTTCAGGGAGCGGCCGTGTGTTTTCGTGTGGCCTCGCTGACCCTGGCTCTGCGTCCTGGCCGCCATGCAGTGCACGCTGGGTGGCTTTGAGGAGCTGCAGAGCATGAAGGCTGAGAAGCGCTCTGCCCTGGGCCTGCCCCCGCTGCCTGAGGACAGCATCACCGTGATCCGCAGCATGAGGGCCGCCTCGCCACCAGCCTCCGCCTCCGACCTCATAGAGCAGCAGCAGCGGCGGGGCCGCCGGGAGCACAAGGTGAGGCGACCATGGCCCTGAGCCCCATGCCCCCTGGGGAGATGGATGGTGCAGAATCCTCGCTGATGAGCTAGTAATAAGGGCCACCCCTTGGTCCCCAACCAGGGTCTAGTGTTTAGGATGAGTGGGACCTTTGAGAGACAGGGACAAGACCCAGTTCTGATTTGGTCCCCTCTCTGGCCTCCCACTGCCTTAGTGCCCTCCGTTCCTGGTGGCATCTCCTCCTCTGCTGTCAGCTCCGTCCCGTCTGCTTTCAGGCGCTGATCAAGCAGGACAACCTGGATGCCTTCAATGAGCGGGACCCCTACAAGGCCGACGACGCCCGGGAGGAGGAGGAGGAGAATGATGAGGACAGCACTCTGGAGGGGGAGACCTTCCCTCTGGAGCGGGATGAGGTGATGCCTCCCCCGCTGCAGCACCCCCAGACTGACCGGCTGACCTGCCCCAAGGGGCTCCCTTGGGCCCCCAAGGTCAGGTGAGTCTCCGACTTCTGGAACACTCTTAGCTCCTGACTCCAGAGAGCACAACCCCCCCAACCCCCCCGCACCCACCCCCAACCCCCGCCACATACACAGACACTAGACGAGGCTCCGGCCCGGACCTCTGCGGCTGGCCTCGGGGGTGCCTGAGCCCTGAGCAGACAGGACGCTAGGGAAGGCCAGTGTGGAAAAGGAACCCAAGGGTATTTAGCAGAGCGTGCTCTCCTCGGCGGAGTTCCCGTCAGACAGCCCTGATCTGTGCTCAGTGTGGGAGAGCCCGTGGGCGGAAAGGTATCCAGAGTCCTGTGAATGGTATCTGCTTGAAAGTGGGTGACATGCCAATGCAAGGAAGCCATCCTCCCAGTGTTCAGCCACCTGTGACAAGGACCCCAAACAGGTGATTGGGAAACATCCGATTGTTTGAAACAGGATGGCACAGCCAGCCCATTTATAGCTCTGATTGTTAGAAAAATGTTTATACAGAGACGAAGTCTCAAGTAAGCTTTTTTAAGCTTGATGTATGCCTTCAATCTTAGAAATAAACTCAAACAGAATTCCAAAAAAAAAAAAATTATAGACGGTCATTGAAATAGTGAAGGTTACAGTGTTTACTCTTTTTCCCCTCCCAAAAGAAAACCAGTTGTGGGGATTTTCTCTTCCCCTGGCTTCCCCGTTTTGGAAGGCGAGGCTTCTCTTAGCCCTGCCACCTTGAGGCCCCGCTGACCACACATGCCCGTGCTTTCTCTGGCAGAGAGAAGGACATTGAGATGTTCCTCGAGTCCAGCCGCAGCAAGTTCATAGGCTACACCCTCGGCAGGTGAGCGCCATTTGAGCTGTTCTGGCAGGGTGGCGGCAGGAAGCTCCTCGGCTGGCCTTTGCCGTGTGGGGACCAGACGAGCCGGCGCTGGGCTTAACGCAAGGCCTCTTTGTTCTCCAGCGACACGAGCACCGTGGTGGGGCTGCCCAGGCCGATCCACGAAAGCATCAAGACGCTGAGGCAGGTGAGTGGCTCTGGGGGAGCTGTGGCCTCATTTGGTCCCAAGTGGGGGAAGTGAGCCCAACCCGCAGGGAGCAGTCTGAATTGGGAGGCGGGCAGGAGCAGCAGGGCCTTCGCCACTTGGACAACAGGCCTTTGTCAGCTGTGCTGGTCAGAGCTGAACTTGTGCTTGGACTCCCTGGTCTTCTCTAATGACCTACGAGCGGGCAGTTGCTGGGGTTTTCAGGGCCCTCTGAGTAGCCTTCCCTTCTCCTTCCTAACCCACATGCCCAGAGGAAGTAGAGGAGGAGGCGAGTGTGGAGGGAAATGCCATCGCTAGCTTCCGGCCGAGGGCTGGGCCTTGGATGCGTAGGGTTGGGGTCTGCTCCTGCCTCTCGCCGGGCTCTCAGCTGTGGGGAGCAGCCTCGGCACATGCTCCTTAGGGACCGCCAGGGGCTGGAAGAGCAACGCTGATGCGTAAAGCGCGTGAGGCCTCAGAGTCCGCTGGTGTGCCTGTCGATGGGTTTCACACAGAAGCCGGCCGGACGGCGAGGAGGAAGAACACGACTCCGTGTGGTCGCTCTGTCTGGCACCCGTGCCCGCGGACAGCAGGTGGTTGACCTGGCTTCCTTTGAGCAGTGGGCCCTTCCTGTCACAAGCAATCTGAAGAAACTGAGGCATAAGACATGAATAGGCAATTTCCCAAAGACGGCATCCAGGTGGCCGACAACTATATGATGAAATGTTCGTGATCATTTGCAATAAGAGAAATACAAATTAAAACAACAATGAGATAATATCTCACACAGACACCTTTCGAAAAATTCAGTAAAACAGGAAATAAGAAATGCTGGAGAGGATGTGGAGAGATGAACGCCCTTACATTGCTGATGGGACAATAGAGTTGTACAATCAGTATGGAATATCCTTAAACAAATGCAAATCCAAGTACCTTATGAACCAGCAGTCTCTGAAGAAATAACATAACACGAACAGATATGTACACCTGTGTATTGCAGCAATTTCCGCAACAGCAAACACGTGAAAACAACCAACAACCCCAACTAAAGAGGAATGGGTCAGCAAGCGCTGGTGCGTTCATGCTATGGAATTGGATGCATCAATTGAAAAAATAGTGGCAATGATAACTCTCTTAAACCCTTAAGACATGGACAAAACCAGAGAACGTTATGCTTCGCAAGCTCAGTCAATCTTACAAAGATAGACATTTAGTATCATCGTTACTGTAAGGAAAAGCGAAAAAGAAGGAATGTGGTGTATATACCAATAGACAAGACTTGATGACTAGGAAGAGGCCAAGGATGGGAGTGGGACCGGGGAGAGGGGAGGGAGGGGGGTAGGAGGATAGGGGGGTAGGAGGACAAAAAATGGAAGGTTTAACACAGAAAAAATAAAAAATTAAAATGCATTGCAAAACAAAACTGTTTATATCAAGAAATGGCATACACAGTAACAGAAATGGCCAAGTCCAATCTGGTTCAGGGTAGGCTGCTTCTGACTCATGGAAGCTGATGAACAGGAAGCAGCAGGGTGACCAAGCAGACACAGCAGGGGGCACAGACTGGTCTGAAGTCAACCCAATGAATCCACTAGTCAGTAGCCTTATAGTGTCTCCTGGGACTGATGGCCGACGCAGCAGGAGATGGAGGCACCAGACACAAGGTCTAGGTCTGGCAAAGGGCCGAAGAGGATTTGATTCTGTGTGCTCTTGCTCTTGAGTCTTAGGACACCCTTGAGGTGTCGGCAGGCTGCTGAGCAATGGATAGGTTGGGCTCCGCCCATTCTCACTGAGAAGTATCTAGTTGACGTACTCCCTAACGGCTGCAGACCACCCCTCATCAACTTGTCCGGAAGCCCCTTCCCTCCTCTAGGTCACCATTCTCACCTGTGGCCTGCCTTCCTGCTCTGCTTCTGAGTGGGAGCACCTTGCGGCTGGTCTGAGAGTCCTCTGAGAAAGACCTTTGGGGTATAGGGTTTTCTTTGTGGTGACTGGGTTTGGAGTGCATTGTTTGGGGGCTTTTCCAGGCCTCGGGGGTGCGGGGAGGCTGGCCAGAGAGGAGAGGTGCTCTCCATTGCCCACTTTCTGCTCCCCTCTAGCACAAGTACACATCGATTGCAGAGGTCCAGGCACAGATGGAGGAGGAGTACCTGCGCTCGCCTCTCTCCGGGGTGAGTGGGGCCTTGCCCAGCTACAGAGCCCAAACGCTGCCCTCCAGAAGCTCACCCGTGGTGAGCTAAGGGGCTAAGAGCCCCGACTCTGAGCTGGTCCCCTGCCTCTGAGTTAGGGTCTCACCATTCCCCAGGCCAGTGACAGGCGAGCTGCTGACTATTCATTCGTTTCCTCATCTATAAACGTGGAGGCATGTGCCCCTACAGCAGCTAGCTTAGCACAGAGCCTGGCATGTTATGTGTGCTTGGGTTGCTGTCCTGGTCATTAGCATCCTTATTCACCTGGTACTTCACAGCGTCCCCTCCAGCCTGCTGGCTCACTGGCCATCAGCTGCGGGGGTGTGGGTTACAGGGAGAAGAGGAAGTGGAGCCGGTTCCTGCAGAAACCCTCTACCAAGGCCTGCTCCCCAGCCTGCCTCAGTACATGGTGAGTCCCTCCAGGCAGGAGGAGCACCTCCCCACCGCGTCTGCCTCCTTTGAGCCGGGGAGGGCTCAGTGGGCTGCTCTTCCCCAGATCGCCTTGTTGAAAATCCTGCTGGCCGCTGCGCCCACCTCCAAGGCCAAAACCGACTCCATCAACATCCTGGCGGATGTCCTTCCTGAGGAGATGCCGTGAGTGTCGCTCCTGGGAACAGGGCGGGGCATGGGTACTGTGTTCCTCTTGGTCCCCTGGTTTGCTAGGTTGGTTTTTCGTCTCTCTTTTTGGCCTGACTTGTCTGAAGGTTAGGTTGAGGGTTTTCCTGGCTCAGAAAAGGCAACATGAAGGGACTGAGCATGTGTACTGGCTGGAGAGATGACCCAGGCCACTTGGTCTGGGTTCTGGTGTCGTCTCTGCTCCCGTGCGGCTGGAGCTAAGTGAGGAAAGGCACCTCTCCTCCGTAGATCAAGGGAGGCAAACTCGGCCCTTTCAGACTTGGCTCTGTAAGCTGCGAAGGGGATGGGGACATGCAGGACAAGGAGGTGGGCTGCAGGTTCGGAAGTGCTTGCCAAGGGCTGAGCGGGGTGGCCATTCGTCCATGCCTGTCAGGAGCTGGCAGGCATCAGCCTGTGTGTGGCTCCAGTGATCAGTGGAAGTCCCGGGGGCTCTTCATCCCTGCGGCCCTGAGCTCGTCTCTCTGACAGGAGCGCAGCTGAGATGGTGTTCTGCTTTGACAAGGGCTCAGGCCTTGACCTGGTTCCTGCCTGCCTGCCACTAGCGCCTCACTCAGCCAAGCTCCCCGGGGGAGCTGCCAGCGAGCAGCGCTCCAGGCCGCCAGCAGGGAGGGCTCAGGGAGGGGAGAGAGCCGGCTGGGCCAATGCCAAGGGAGCTTCATCTGAAGCCCCAGACTCACATAAGCATGCTCTGACCTAGCATGGCAAGTCCCGGGTGAAGAGACTTGGTCGTCAGAGGAAACCTGCCTCCAGCACCCGAAGGGCCAGAAAGCGTAAATGTATGGCAATGATATATAAAGATTGTCGTGAAGTCGTAGAGGATAGGAAAGATAGGAGAGAGAGAATACAACAGAGGAGTCAGACACATTTTATCAGCTCTTCTTGATGGACCACGCGGAACTGGGAGAATTGAGAGAGAACCGTTACTGTCTTGGGATGTTGATAGGTAGGCATAAGACATGTATATTGAGTAGTTACATGCAGCGTAAGGTGGGTGGCATCTACATTAAGGTCCTTGAGCTCACAGGTGAGGAAACCTATTACCTGCATTGGGGGAAGGTATGAGTGGGGTTGGGTGACACAGCGGGAAGAGCGAGCAAAAGGACGTCTGCTTCTACAGGGAGATAGAATCAACCATGTGCTCGCTTTAAGGCAGCATGGCTGTTAGAGGGGGAATCTGTGGGAATGATACTTAAAGCAGGTTACTGTACTTGAACTTTACCTCTAACTTAACCAAAGTGGAATCCCAGCTTCCAAATTCCCTCTGTTATGAGTTAGGGGAGAGAGTCCTCGTCAGTGTCTCAGTGTCAGTTTCCCACACTTGGTGAGCTTTCTTGAGCTCAAGGCTTCCAGGACTTACTGACTCACAGCCCCATCTTTCCTTCGTTCTGTGAGACCTCTGTGCTCTGGTGTTCCACAGAACACGCACTGTCTGTGGGGAGGTGGCTTATAAGGTGGCAGGAGCTTTGGACAGGGACCTGGAGAAGGCAAAGTGCATTTTGGGAGGGCAAGCAGGGAATGCGTGTGGCATTATGGGGAGCAATCACGTGCCCAGCTGACTTGCTTTAAGGAGAGCAGTGCCTGGGCCTGGGCCTCTGAGGTGTCCAGGGTGAGGGTGGGGAGGAAGCCTTGGACCAGCCAAGTATCCGGACTCTGTCTCCTGGGGAACCCGGCTGGCACCCACACACAAGTGGCTAACCCTGGGCCTTGCTTTGCCAGCACCACCGTGCTGCAGAGCATGAAGCTGGGGGTGGATGTGAACCGCCACAAGGAAGTCATTGTCAAGGCCATCTCTGCTGTCCTGCTACTGCTGCTCAAGCACTTCAAGCTGAACCACATCTATCAGGTACCTACCCGCAGTCAGCCTCCCTGTCTGCTGGGTGGTGGAGCAGGGGCCCAGGCCCTTCAACCCTCCCTGCGTGCTTTGGGGATGTCGGAGCCACGCTCCCCGTCTAGGAGAGAAGGGTGGTGGTGGTGTCCCCTGCAGCTCACGCCTGTTTTCTCTTCCAGTTTGAGTACATGGCTCAGCACCTGGTGTTTGCCAACTGTATCCCTCTGATCCTTAAGTTCTTCAATCAAAACATCATGTCCTATATCACGGCCAAGAACAGGTGCTCGGGGCCAGTGACCAGTGACCAGAAAGCCGTGAGCTTGATCTGCCTCGTCCAGAGGGCCCATCAGCACCTCCCAGCTAGCACAAGGCTTTCTGCCATGGGGGTCTGGGGGTGCCTGCTCTCCCGGCTGTCCAACTCAGCCCCCTCCCCCCTGCTCATCGGTGGGCTGCCCCCCAGCCTGGGGTGAGGGCTGCAGATTCCAGCCCCAGATTCAGGACTGTGGGGAAAGCAGATTACCTCTAGGTGTGCTGGGGTTAGTTGGCAGGTGTGTGTGCGTGTGCGCACGCATGTGCACGGGCAGAGTAGATTCCTACATCTGCCCAACAAGTGCAGGGGGTGAGGCAGGAGCCAGTCCAGTCCCTGCTGCCCCGCCAGCCCCAGGGCTGTGCTGGAGTTGTGCTGATGGCAGCCCTTGCCGGTCCCCTGCCTTCTGCAGCATCTCGGTCCTGGACTACCCCCACTGCGTGGTGCATGAGCTGCCAGAGCTGACCGCTGAGAGCCTGGTGAGTGGTGCCCTTGGCCAGGGTCTCCTCCACGGAGCTGTGGGTGCTGTCTTTTAGAGAACTGCTGTTGCGTAGAAAGGCTGTGGGCAGGACCTGGCAGGGCTGCCAGATCTGGGTCCGCTAAGGTCTGCTGCCTTAGAGCCCACTCTATTGAGTCGCTTCATGTCTCCTCACGGTGGACTCCTGTGGGACCACACCCTAAGGCTCCCGGAGCCCCCACGAATCACAGTCTAGGTTTCCCACAGGAAAATGTTAGGCATTCCCTCCTTGACACCAGCTTCTGGGGTACACTCCCCACTGGGTACCAGGAGAGGCTGGGTGGTTGAATGGGGACTGCTGACACCTGTGAGGTTGTGACCCCCCTGGCCTGCCCACAGGAAGCAGGGGACAGCAACCTGTTTTGCTGGAGGAACCTCTATTCCTGCATCAATCTGCTTCGGATCCTGAACAAGCTGACCAAGTGGAAGCATTCCAGGACGATGGTGAGTCAGCGGGCGGGTCAGCATGCAGGCGACTTGGAGCTCGCCACGACCTCCAAGCCATAAGCAGGGTCCTCCAGGTGGACTGGCACTGCGTCCACGTCCTCTCCCCTCGGTTTCCTACAGTGTGCCCTTGCTCCCTGATGAATTGAGCCACAGGCTCACAGGGGAGACAAACCAAGTCCCCATTGAAGATGGTTTCTGCCTCCTCTCTACTCCCATTGCTACCACAGCTGGGTGTGTGGAGGCCTCTGAACCCCATACACAGGAGTGCTTCAGGGGTCATCACTCCACACCTGGAGGAGGTTTGGACGGGGCAGTTCCAGGTCCCAGGAAACCCCTTGGTGTAGGAGAACTGGGCAGTGCCTGTGGCCCAGGGACAGTGGAGCGGCAGTGTGGAGGTATCCGGTCGTTTCTGCCCCACTGAGGGCTGCCCCATCCCCCCCCCAGATGCTGGTGGTGTTCAAGTCGGCCCCCATCCTGAAGCGGGCCCTGAAGGTGAAACAAGCCATGATGCAGCTGTACGTGCTGAAGCTGCTCAAGGTGCAGACCAAGTACCTGGGGCGGCAGTGGCGGAAGAGCAACATGAAGACCATGTCGGCCATCTACCAGAAGGTGCGGCACCGGCTGAACGACGACTGGGCCTACGGCAACGGTGAGGCTGCGCACGGCCACCAGGGGGCACCTTCACATGAGGAGAGCCCCGGGGCTGCTGTGGGCTGAGCATAGGGTCCAGACCCACCGGCTGGGTGGCATGTGGCCGCTTCTGCTCCCATGAAGACCCACAGCTCTGCTCTGTCCTGCAGGGTCAAGATGTAGTGGGTTTGGTTTGGGGGCGTCTCTTGAGTGAGGCGTGTGATCCACACCACATTGTCTGTGACCTGTACCATCTCGTGACCTGCCCCAGCCAAGCCCAGTGCTGGGGGCCCGTGGAGCTCCTGCCCGCTCACCATGCTGTGTCCTTCTCTGGGCCTCTGGGTACAGAGCCCTCTGTGGCCGCACCCCGCTGTGCACTCCTTCCTACTCTGGGTACACGAGTCCCGCCCTGTGTGCCCAAGCACACAGTCTGGGCAAAGCGCACCATGGCCTGCTGGCTGTACCCACACCCACGGCCTGCGAGACTGGGCCTGCAGGGGCAGTGCCAGTGTCATCTGTGTCCCCTCAGACGAGTGGTCAGGCACAAATGGAGGAATGGCCGGTGGTGTCTGCAGTGCTTGCTCCTCTGGGTCATTCGTCTGCTCTTCCTCAAAGCCTGGGCCTCGCCCCTCCCTCCGGCTCTCCTCCACAGTCTCCCTGAGCCCTGCCTGTCCTGTCACCTCCCAGCAGCAGAGGGTGGGCCTTACAGGGGCCCTGCGTCCACACGGAGCTGCCACCAGGGCCAGCCTCCTGACCTCACCCTCCGGCTTTGTCCTAGATCTCGATGCCCGGCCTTGGGACTTTCAGGCGGAGGAGTGCGCCCTGCGGGCCAACATTGAGCGCTTCAACGCCCGGCGCTACGACCGGGCCCACAGCAACCCCGACTTCCTGCCAGTGGACAACTGCCTGCAGAGTGTCCTGGGCCAGCGGGTGGACCTCCCGGAGGACTTCCAGATGAACTATGACCTCTGGCTAGAAAGGGAGGTCTTCTCCAAGCCCATTTCCTGGGAGGAGCTGCTGCAGTGAGGCTCCATGGGACTGAGCAGTGAAGCCTGCTCCCGTCCTCCAGGGGGCAGCGCAGCCCCACTCTGCCTTCCAGAGCCAGCCCGGGCTGTGGCTGGGAGGGCGTCCAGCGTGGTGCCCAGTGCCTGCTCAGGAGCACTCAGTCCGTCATCTCTCTGCTTGGAATCTCCCTCTTGGACACGGCTTGTGACAGCCCGTTTCGCAGTCAGCCCCAGGCTGGGAAAACCCAGGGTGAGCTGGGTTCTCCTTGCACCGGAATTTTAGGGGTCTCGAGCCAACTCCTCCAGAAACGGACGACCTCATCCGGCCTGTTGGCTTGTCACAGAGAAGGAGTTCCAGCCAGGACAAGAAGGCCAGCACCTTGGCCCTGCTCTGGGCTGGGCAGGCTGGGGTTCTGAGGTCATCCCAGCCTCCTGGTCAGCTGCCTCCAGAAGCAGGTGCAGAGGCCTCCAGAGTCAGGGACGGAGAGACGGCACCCTTCACCAGAGCAGCCGTTTGCCCCCCTGGCTTGCTAAGGGCTTGCACGTAGTTATACTCGGGCAGTGCCCGGGTGACTGACCACGTTGACTGAGCGACACATCACACTTGCCCTGAAATGTTAGGTAAATCTGCCCTCACACTGAACCTGGATGACTGAGTCCTTGTGATCACCTTTCCTTTGCTGCGCACGGCAGCTTCTAAATCGTCAAGCCTTTCCTTGCACCAGGTGCAAAACCAGGCCCTGTCTTTGAGTCAGTTCCAGTTCAGTGAGCCTGTAAGTGAGGGGCGAGCTGCCCCCTGGGATTCGAGGCTGGAGGTGCTCTGGAGGCACACTGCCACAGCTTTCTTCTGGGGGCTGGCCAGTGGGTTGGAACCGCCAGGCTCAGCCCGCAGCCGAGAGCTTGACCGCTGCGCCACTGGGCTCCTGGCTGGCAGTAAAGTCAGGCAAAACGAGGACAGTTTGTGCCTGTTCTGACTCAGATACACTGAGAAACCAGTCTTGTTTGACCGAGAGCTGGGAGTGTCGGTGTAAATCTGTGTGCTCCTGTGTGACGTTGGGGTCTCCCATGTGTTTCTGTATTCTGTTTACATTAAAAGGAAGAAAAACAGCACCCACTGCCCAAATGTCTCTTCCCATTCTAGAAAAGGGCTGCCAGCATGCTGGGGTCCCCCACTTGTCTCTCCAAAGTGGCCTGGCTGGAACTGGCTGGACAGCGGTGCCGGTGACTTCGGTGTGCCCCCCTCAGCAGTCTGGGTTGGCTCCAGCCTAGCCCACTCTGGGTCACTGGAGTGACCTGCAGCCTGCAGCCCCTGGGTTTGACGTAACTGTAGGAGGAGGCTCGGGTTTCCCTGAGCTGACCTCACCCAAACCAGGTTCCTTGCTCGAGAGAGCAAGGTCCAAGGGCAGAGTCACCTGCTCAGGCCTCACTGAGGCAGGTGGCTGGGACAGAGACTCAGCGCCTGGGTAAGTTAGGTCCACGTCAAGAAGGGGAGTGTGGAGGGGCCCCTGTGACGGTGAAGAAAGAAGGAAATCTGTGCGAGGTGCTCGTCTTGAGGCCCCTTGGGATTCAGCTTGGCTTCAGGCCCTGGACACTCTGGCTCCGCCCAGCTCTGTCTTGCACCTACCTCAGAGACTGCCCAGCCTGTGCTGGTCAGAGGAACCTGCTGGTGTAGCAGGTACACATGGGATGCTAACCGCACAGTCAGCAGTTTGAAACCATCAGCTGCTCCCCTTGAGAAAGGGCTTTGCACTACCATAAAGAGGTCACCACAGGGCCAGTCTCCCTGTCCTCTAAGGTCACTGAGTCGGTGTGGCCCCAAGGCAGTGAGTTGTCAGTGTTGGAAGGTAAACCCTATGGATGGGGTCTTCCCACCTCCAAGATCTCTTGGTTATAAAGGGTGTGTATTCAGGGGCAGACTCCGCTCAGTGCTGGCCTGCTCTGGGGGCTGCCCAGGTGGGCCTTCAGAATAGGCCTCAGTCCCAGCTTGGGAAGAGTGGCAAAGGTGAGGAGCCAGCAGTAGGCATTTGTGGCCACTGCCCTGGAGCTGGGAAGGCCCCAAGACTGACCGACCTTCCACCCCTGGTGTGACATGCACTGGACACGGGGCTCTAGCTCGCACGGTCTGGGTGTGCCAGGGCTCCCTGCCAGGTGGGGTCAGGACTGAGGAAGGTTGTGACCTTGGGGCTTCCCTGAGGGGAAGGTGGATTTGCACACCTTAACTGCCCCTTGTAGCCTGAGGTCTCTGCACCTGCCTGGCCTGAAGTTGAGACCTACATCCCCATCTTTTTTTTCCCCAGGCTCTAAACGGAAGCACTGGTACCAACGCTGCAAGGACCTGGAGCCAGGGGTGGGAACCCTTCCTCCAGGCCAGGGAGCTTGGCTGGCAAGGGCTGGGCCAGGCACAGCCGAGGCTGGGTGGTGGCAGATTGACTAAGGGAAGCAGTCGTTTGTACCAGAGTCTTCCTTGGAGCTCCCAGCCCCGTGCCTCACCAGGGCCTCCCCTGGGCCCGAGCAGGAGCATGGAGGCCCTGGTCAAGCAGTGATGACTGCTCAGCAGGCCTGACCAGCGCTCTTTCCCTCCACTGGCCATCGGGGAACCTATAGTTGCTCAGGGTTCCCACTTAATGGATGCCCGGCACTGTGCTGAGTGCCTCTTGAACACACATCGCCACACAGCACATAGCCCTCACATGCCAGCCACTGAGAGCCCCTGGAAGGCAGGTAATCATGACTCTCCCCACCATGCCAATGAGAGCACTGCAGAAAGGGAGCAGACTTGCCCAAGGTCACACAGGATTCAAACCCAGGCCGCCGCTGGCAGCAGGTGGTGCTTTCTACTCTACAGTCCCCGTGGTCATTGCCCGCCCGCCCACACTGACACCCTGTGCCCCCTCGACAGTGCTCACTGTCTGCTCCCTGCCACCCATCCTGGCTGGACGTTGCTTGGCCTAGTCTCGCAGGCTCCCTGGATGTGGCCCCCTCCGGGTTATTTGGGCATTTGTCACTGCCTTTCTGTTTTCTGACTCAGCCTGATGCATCTCTACAGCTTCCCCTGCCAGACCTGCTACCTGCTCTCCCAGGAGACCAGCAGCTTCCTGTCTGCCCTGGAAAGAGCTGGCTGCTAGAGAAGCCCCTGGCACAGTCGGCTTCAGGCTGTTGGCTCTAGACCACCCGGGGGTGGGGGTGGGGCACCTGGAGGGGTCCAGCTGTGATGTTTACTCACTGAGGGAGGGACAGAGGACTCAGCCAGCTCTAAACCCCGACTGCCACATCGCTAAGGGTCCAATGAGAAGTCTCCAGGTGGGTGTAGGAGCTGAGTAAGACGGAGGGTGATGGACCGACAAGCCCATAGGGGTTGGGGGTGAGGGTACCGGAAGTGCACGGACAGTGGACGGTGAAACTCCCACCAACTTTCTGGAGCTCCTCCGTGTGCATGCTCACCCTCCCTCGTCCCACCGCCCATCTCTGGCTTTGCGTCTACTTCCTGTGTCCCTAGCTGAGAGGTGCCCGGACCCTGATCTGAGCCATGCCTTGCATGCTGTCCCCCATGCCTGATTCCTGGATCTGAACAGTGGGGTCCTCAGACAGTGGCCCTGCATCATGACCTCAAGCCCTGGTGCTGGGTGCCCAGAGCGCCCAGCTGGAGAGGGTACAGTCCCGCCCTTCCCTCCAGCTCACAGACACTGGGGAGACAGCTGGCAGAGAGGGAGATGATGCAGGGACTTGCTGGTCTAGCCCAGGGAGGATGGAGCCTGGGGGGCTCCCTCTGGCGCAGCGGGCTCCTGAGTGCTCTGAGCCTCCAGGTGGGATCAGGAGGCTGTGGAGTAGACTGGGGGTGGGTTGAGGTGTGTGCTCGCTCTGCTGCTGGGGAAAGGAAGCTCTCTGGTCTGGCCCAGTGTCTGGCCAGACCAGGCTCTGGGGCTCTGTTCCTGCCGGGGCTGCAGAGGGTCTGCACTTTGGGGTTGTAATTCAGGTTGATGTGTGAGTGGTTGGGGAGGTGGGGGAGGAAGATGGAAGGCTTTTAATGAGAAGCATTTCCCACTGCCGGTCTGAGGAAGGGCAGTCTGCACTCAAAGGCCTCCTGGCTCAGGCCCTCCATCCCAGCCTGCTATCTGTGGCCCCCATCCTGCACCAGGGCTCAGGGCTCTGGAATCTTCTCTGGATAGGCCTCATTGGGGGCCTCAGCAAAGGGAGACAGAGGCTGGCAGGGTTTCTAGGTGGGTCAGCTCCCTTTCCAGAAAGGTGGCCCGAGCTCTAGGCTGGCCTTGGGGAAACTGGGAGTGGGGTTGGAGCAGGGGCGCCTGGGGACTCTGGGCAGGCAGGCAGGGGTGGGTGGGTGCGCTGTCTCCGGGGAAGGGGGTGCCCAGGGAGGAGTGGGGGGAACCCAACTAATAGGAAGCAGGTGGGAAGGCTGTCTGTAGCCCAGCCAGGGGACAGGCCTGCGGGGACGGCCCAGACGGAGGGGGGCCCCATCAGCTCACAGATAATCCCAGGGCACAGGCTCCGGGATGCCCATTCATATTCATTACGTGTGAAGCAGGCGGCTGTAAAGTCAGCTCTCTCTTCATTTGGCTGTCACGGGACAGAAAAATATGAGCTGTGGGCGATGACCCTGGACAGGAGCCAGGCGCTGGCCTCCATCCTCCCGTGCCCTTCCCCGCCACCGGCCCACTCCTGTTCTCTGCCACCCCTGCCTCTTGCTGCCTCCCTCTTTGGTTCTGCTTAGTTCTGGCGCCTGCCTGGTCCCCACTTCTGCTGCCTCCGCAGACAGACGTGCGCCCCTCCGGCCGCCATTGCTCCAGGTTACGTGAGGAACTCCGTGGGCACCAGCACCGAGGCGGACTCTCAGAACATCTGGGTACCACAACCCAATTTCCCCGACCACTCACGGGGCGCAGAAACGGGCAGCAGAGCGGTGGCTCAGCCCTGGTTCCACCCCTGACCCGCTGGGCCAGGGTCTGTGAGCAGAAGCAGCTGAGTATACCTCACCCTCCTACCTCCTCACCCCGCTACCTGGTGGCCCCTCCCTCGTGCTCTGCAGAGGGGACCAAAGACAGGAAGCCAGGCCCTCCACGGAGGGGAGGGAACACTTGGTTTTCTCTGGGGGTCGCACCAGGGTTGCAGGGGGCGAGCCCAGGCCTGAATGCTTGGGCAGTAACGGTCTGACGGGTTAGCTCTTCCTCCCAGAGAATGACAGGTCCTTGTGCTTGGGTGTCTCTGGGCCTGAAAGATGTGCGTGGGGTGGGGTGGGGAGGGGTGCGGGTGGGGGTGGCTGAGCTCTTCTGAGCAATGTGGTTGTGTTTACTGGGAGGCGGGGAGGCTGGGAGGGCCCAGCCCGGTTTTTCTCCTGCCTTGTAGGCTGCGGAGATAAGGCAGAAATCGGGGATGAAGGATAGAACGGGCAAGCCCCAGAAACCACAAGAAAGAGTCCTGGCTTTCGTCCATGCCCCACAGCTCAGACACACTCCCAGGGTGTCTGGAAGCAGGGCGCTGCCCCACCCCCGCTCCAGAGGCGCCCAGGAGGGGGAGTTGGGGGGTGCCTGAGCATCCCTTCCATGGTCAATTCCATCACAAGCTTGTCTTTACGCCCTCGTCCAACAAGGCCCAGCACCAGGCCCCGCTCTCCTCCCTGACCCCCAGCACCAGTCTAAGCCACCAGCCTGCCAGGTGACGGGGCCTGGGCAGGGCACACTTCAGCCCCGCTTCTGGAGCTCCGATGCCTGGTGGCCAGTCTGGACCCCGGACAGAGACCAACCTGAAAGCAGCCTGGGGCCTGGGGTGGAAAACACCGCCACCTTTATTGCTATATGAGGCAGCACGGGGTTTTGTTTGTTTCTTTTACAAACGGGTCTTTACAAAAACAGGGGTCTCGATCTCAGGGGCTCAGCACCCGAGGAAATCTGCTTGTTCTCACCACTACCATCCAAGGAGGAGACCGAGGTGGCCTGTGTTTCCACCGCCCAGCTAGGCCCGAGCCCAGAAGAGACCCCGCAGGGGGCGGTTTCTGGCAGTATGCTGGAAAGGGGCACCGCTGACCTCGGGCTGTTGGTGCACAGCCCCCGGAGAGCCCTGAGCAGGGGCCGAGGGAGCAGCCTGGAGAGGTGAAGCGTGACCCTCCATCGGTTTGGGGGCTTCACGAGGCACTCCACCCAGTCCTGTCTGCATTCCCCTCCTTCCGGCCTCGAGGATGCAATCGAGGTGTCCGTCTGTCCATCCATCCCTCTGATTGAGCAGGCAAATGCAGACTTGGGCAGCGTCTGACTCCAGGAAGACAGTGTCTCCGCCCCCTCCCCCGCCCCCCACCAGCTTGGCTCAGAACCCAAGTCTGTGCCAGGCTGAGGCCTGGGCACTGCTCTGTAGCCCACTTGATCCTGGGCAGTCCCACCTTGCCCCAAGAGAAAGACCCCAGAGCTGAGCGCTCAGCCACTCTGCCTAGGGGTTGGGGGCGGGGGAGCCACTCAGTCTGAGT